AAGGCTCTCCCCCGGGGGGTCGCCAGCTGACATTGGCTGGCAGATGGAACCCAGAGAAGGCCGAGCCTGTGTGATCGAATTGGTCTTTGGGAAGTAATAATACTTTATTGGCTATTGCAAGTTTTATGCTGTTGTACAAAAGACACTCAGAAGGGGAATTATTCCATAATACCAAACAAACAATCAAAATGAAAAAGACCAGTAACTATTAAAACTACAGAAAAGCAATACATTCAATATATACTGAATAACTATTTACAGTTATAACTATAACACTGTAAATCTGTACATTTTATAAATGCAAATATACCCTGATGTTGGATAACTCTCTATATACTAATAGCAAATTAATTTTTTAAAGTATAACTTAAAGAAACTCCATATTCTGTATATTATTAAGAAATACGATCAGGTAGAAGAAGGGATAAAAAAAATCAGGTTTAAATATGCTTTAGGGGCACAATTCCAGTTAACAGTTGTGAGGGGAGGAAATGGAATGACATCCTGGAATAAGGTATAGCTAATTGTCTGAAATGCTGTATTTTTGCTGCAGAGATACCTTAGCACTAATATAAATCATTTTGGAATGTTTTATTTTGTTATATGCAACTACTATTAAATCAGTTAATGTTAATTAACAATGGTGGAGGCTGTCAGAATAACAAGAACCAGAACTCTGTATCTCTCTTGACACCTGAGGGAGGTAAAAGTGGAAGTTAAGAAGAAAATCAAATTAGCTAATGGTGCTGATTCCGCTGAATTGTGGTTTTGTTTAATTTGCTAGTAATTCCCTCAACAGCAAAGTTTGTGAAAGAGGCTTAGTTGAGAGAGAGAGAGTGGCTGAAGACATCCTGTCAACATCTCTGGGGATTTGGGGATCCCCAAAATTTAGAGATAATCCTAAATTCAAGCCGATTTGTCTGTATCATTGCCAGCCAAGTCATATATAGTCGCTACCTTAATTGAATTAACAGATTCAAAATATTTGGGGATGAGTTGGCATCTACTGCTAACAAAATGAGAGGAAGTTGTTCTTGTTAGAGGAAAAATAGATAGGATTGCCAGCTTTAGTAAAATAGCCACATTGCTGGACCAAAACACTTGGCTTAAGGCAAAACACCAAATCCCTTGCCCACCAGTGTGTTTGCCTGGCGCTTAAGATCAACCAAAGTATGGTGGAATGCAAGGGGAAAAATACTGCATTTCTCTTCCTGAAATAAAGGCACAACAAAAATAAATTAAACACTAATGATATCTGATCTTTTCATAACATCTCAAAATAGCTATCTGAGAGGATTCTGCCTGTTATTGGAGATGCTGAGCAATAATTTCATAAATAAGATGCTTCCCCACTGGAAGTTACCAAGTTACAAATTTTATCACAAAAGATTTTTGAGAAGTTACAATCTCAAATCCCATAATTATACTAAAATTAAGATAGCCTCACTTCAGTGATGCATACTTTAGAAACTATTGTTGCAACATATTATATTTAGAGCTTTATTGAAAATTATCTAAAAGTTGCAAGTGAAGCTCAAGTGTACAGAAAGGCAGGCAAATGAAACTGTGTAATGTTGAGGGACACTGGCTCAGCAGCTAAAACGTGAGCTTGTTGATCAGAAAGCTTGGCAGTTCAGAGGTTCGAATCCCTAGCGCCGCATAACGGAGTGAGCTCCTGTTACTTGTCCCAGCTTCTGCCAACCTAACAGTTCAAACGCATATAAAAATCAAGTAGAAAAATAGGGAACCATCTTTGGTAGGAAGGTAACAGCGTTCCGTGTGCCTTTGGCATTTAGTCATGCTGGCCACATGACCACAGAGACATCTTTGGACAGTGCTGGATCTTCAGCTTTGAAACAGAGAGGAGCACCGCTCCCTAGAGTCAGGAATGACTAGCACATGTGTGCGAGGGGAACCTTTACCTTTTAATATTGGTCCTAAAAGGACTGCATACATAATTTTTACATGTTGACATCAAACTATGCTACACGATCAGCTGGGATAGACACTGTAGCCAGAAGTTGGCCTTCTTAGTGGTAGGAACCCAACAATACAATTCTCTAATTTGAAGTCAGGTAGGGATTCTTGAGGGAAGAAGGAGAGCTGTTTGCCTGTCACCTGGCCTTTTTTTAGCCAATAACTGAAGACACACCTGCTACTTCTAGAATAACAATGACTCTGGACTAAAAGTTTCAGAATATATTTTAGACTGCCTGTCATGTTATTGTTCTGTCTTCAAATGAATTATGTTCTAATGTGCTTGTATATTATGTTAAAGTCTGTTAATTTTTACGGCGATGGTTTTATCTAAGCACAGTTTTTATTAATCCTTTGTAAATTGCATTGGCTCCTCCAGAGGAACAGGGATATGCTGAAGAAATAATATGTTTGTGGTAAATAACAGAATAAATATGAATGAACTATGAATTCATTATCAACACCAATTATAACTGGTACATTGTTTTTCTCCTTAAGTAATAAGAATGTTAACGATACAAAAACAAGGCAATACCAAAACAAAACTAAATACATTAATTGTTGCATTAAAAACATCCTTATAGCCAAGTAGATTTTCTCTATACAGCGCCTACTAATTTATGGATGGGCAGAATACTTAGGTTTCCCAGCTCCACCTAGTATTAATTTATTACTGGAAAATGTTATTGTACTTGGGAACTTTCAAAGATCATGTGTCAAATGAATAAGAAAGTATTAAAAATGAAATGACATCCAGTTTGAACATTTAATGTAATTTATATATTAAATGGAAAAGTCAGTAGTACAATTGCGTATTGTGACCATGTGATGTCTCACTTAACAACTGCAGATGATTTGCTTAATGACTGCAGAGGGGCTGAGTTCATAAGCTCATTGTGGTCCTGTGCTGTCTTGCTTAATCATATCGCTAGCAATGGGGTTGCTTGTCCCAATCATGGTCACTAAGCAAGGAGTACCTATATCAGGGGTGTCAAACGTGATCGTGTTGCGTCCCAGATCGTGATGCATTGCAATGTTTTTTGCCTTCGCGGAGCCAGGATGGGCATGGCAGGCATGGCCATATCCAACCTGCGGGCCACCAATTTGACAGGCCTGACCTATATTGTGAGAACTGATTATCTGAATGACTCAAGTAGCTGGCCTGTCTAATTCAGCACCTCAGAGAGATCTCCTGCCAGTTAACCATGATGGTGTGTGTGTGTGTGGTTTGTGTGTGTGTGTCGCACATGTTGACAAGCCTTCTTTATTCACTTTCTTTATTCAATAAGCTGCGACCATGTCATGTGAAAGGCAACTGAGATTAGATATATCCAGTGTATCATGGATGACATGAAGAAAGTGGGCAGGGAGAAATTTTTTTCTCAGCTTGAAAAAAATAA